GAAAAAAGGTACAGAATTTAGAATAATTCTCTGTACAAGTATAAATCAAATAAATATTAAACAAATGGAATGAGATTGCAGCAGGAGGAGGAGTTTAAATTACTTGAACCACCTGAACCTCAGTTTTCCTGTCTTTCAAATGAAAGCAAAAGGAACTACTTATTCAGCACGATGGTTTTGCTAATTTCACAGTACAAGTAAAGAGCCTATTCATGGTGCCTGATACATCATGCACTAAGGTAGGCACTTAATAACAAGCAACTATTATAGTCACTCCTATTGTATTTCTGTTGTTCCATTCTTCCCAGGCCAGAAATAAATATTTTCTCTATAAAAACCTGACAAATTAATTACTCATTCCTGGCTTGGTTTTTAGTTATTTGAATATTATCCCTTCTAGTAGAATATAGGTTCTTTGTTAATTTTATACAATAAGGGTCAAATATGCATGAAGAATGATATTAAGAGAGAAGTAAATAAGAATAGAAGTAAAGTCAAAACTTTATTTAAAAAAAAAAACCTAAGGTAGCTGAAATGTAAGTTAAGTAATTTCAAATAAAATATTTATTTAAAGAGTGAAAGCTAGACCAAATGATCAGCTTTTAAATAGTATTTTTAGTTTGAAGATCTAGGGAACTGTATGTTTCTTCAACCCTCAAAATCCAAATCAACGGTATACTACATATAAGATATGTTTATACATTAAATTATTGTATATTATATAACTATATATTATATTTATAATTCATTAAGCAATAAAATAATTATTGGTTTATGGATGACTATCTTAACCAGATACTTAGTATGTTTTCATAGCTAGTTTTGAACTAGCTTAAATGCTATTTTATTAGAAAATGTCACACTATATTAAGGAAAAAAATCTTGAATTAAATTTACTATATTTAATTACACAGGTTAATATGCCTCCCTTAAGTGTGTATATAAGTAAACTGATATATTTATTAAATCATTGTGGGGTTTGAGTGGACTGATAATATTTTAGAGTACTTCTATAAAACTTTCAATAGTTTTAAAAAATTGATCAGGAACATCAAAGAGTCAGCAAGGGAATAATCCTTTCAAGTCAATGACAAAGCCCAAACTGTAACAGTTTTATGTTTCCTGATATTCTTTGGTGGCTGATTTTAATTTGCTTTGATTGACAAAATATGTGGCTAATATAATCAGTACCTTAACACATAACACATGCAACCACAGCCACCAGAGGTTTGCTGTTAAAATGGTCATAAAACCTAACTCTACCTATTGCAGGATATTTGTTGCAATCTTGGCAACTGACAGTAGAGTTATTTATAACAATAACAACAGCAAAAGGATATCACATTTCTCAATGCTTCTATTACTTTACTGTTCTTTTTTAAAAAAAATATTGGCTATTAGAGAGCTTTGTTTTAAGAATCAATAAAATCCAAAGAGGTACAATATGCAATACAAGGAGAAGGACTAAAATGGAAAAAAACCAAAACAAAACTAAACCTAAAAAAGCAATAAAATAAATAGGGAAATGAAATACTCCTTCTTGAATACTTTCAATATTTAAACACAATGGAAGATACAGCTTTTATTAATAAATAGCATTTTTGAGCAACCCTAGTATTTTTCAAATGTATAAGTGAGTGTGTGTGTGTGTGTGTGTGTGTGTGTGTGTGTGTATAGGTTTATAAGCATATGGGTATATAGATTTAAACCTATATGAATATATTTAAATAACCATAAGGAAAAGCAGTTATGTGAAAATTATTCATACAATTCACCACTTAATAGTTTTTCTAAAATCTATTATCTTATAGGTATATTTCTTTTTCTTTCTTTTTTTTTTTTTTGAGTTGGAGTCTCACTCTGTCACCCAGACTGGAGTGCAGTGGGCTCTCCCGGCCACCGCAGCCTTGACCTGCTGGGCTCTGGTGATCCTTCCGCCTCAGCCTTGCAACGCCTGGCTAATTTTTTGATTTATTGTAGAGATGAGGTCTCACCAAGTTGCCCCAGCGGGTCTCGAACCCACGGGCTTAGGCAATCAACTCACCTCAGCCTCCCAAGGTGTGGGATTACAGGCTGAGTCACCGAGCCCGGCGGCATATTTCTTGAAAAACTAATTTATCAATGACACAAAACGAAACAGAAAAATCTGAATAGCCCTACACTTATTAAAGAAATTAAATGTTACCAAAAGTCTTTTCATCAGTAAAAAAATCCATTTCCCAAATAGCCTCACTTATAATTTTTATTAACTATTCAAGGAAGCATTGTACAAGCTTTCAAAAAATATAGATGCCGAGGGATCACTTCTCAATATGCATTATGAAAACTGCAAAAACCCTAAAATCAAAATATGACAAGGACACTACAAAACATATAGTTTCATACATGTGCATAAACCACATGCAAAAAAGACCTCAAGCAAACCCTAGCAAATTGAAAACAATACTATATAAAAAGGTTATCATGATAAAGTAGGATTTATCTCAGGAATGTTAGGTTGGTTTAACATTCAAGAACAAATCAATGAAATTCACCATACTTATCGACCAAAAGGAATAAAAAAGAATCATTTCAGTACTTGCAGAAAAAGCATTTGACAAAACTCAATAACATTCATGATAAAACTCTTAGTAATCTAGAAACAGTAGGAAGCTTCTTAATGCTAACAAAGAGTATCTATAAAAAATTGATAGCCAAAATTATACTTAATATTGGCATTAGCCCTACTTAATAGTTACTTAACTATAAAATCACAGCAATAAAAATAACCTGACATAAAATATGTGTATAATTTAGGCTATTCTATTTTAAAACCCCTGATTAGCAACTGTAATTCTATCTTCAATCTTAGGTCTTCTTTTTCATGTAACCTAACATATTTATTGGTTCTAAGGTATTAAATGTATTAAAAATATTATATAGCCTCTCTGGAAAACGTTTAGTCAAATTCCTCTATCAGGGACTAAAAATATCTTATACTATAATATTCACAGATGTATAGACTGTCTTCTTTTCATTGGGAGAAAAAATGGCATTAATCATGATTTTCATTTCTTATTGAAGTGAGCCATAATAAGATCTATATGCATTCTTCCCACAAGACAAATTCAAGATTTTGAATAAACTGATAGCACAATGCATGTTTTATCTCTATTATCAATATTAAAATGTCAGATAGAGTCCTGCCTATTGAATTAGTTTCTAATTAAGTAATGATGTTTGGGATTATCTCATTACAGAAAATAATTTCTAAGCCACAGAAAATAATAGGAATAAACACACCTCCACTCACACCTCTAAAAATGCTGCCAATTTCTAGAAAAAAAAATTGTTGCCACTTTCCTCAAAGTGAGAGACAGAAAAAGGCATCCAAATCTACTTAGATAAAATTTTCTTTTGATTTCTTCTCTTACTCAATGATTGTCCAAAAGGTTATTGTTTAGTTTCTACATATTTGTAAATTTCCCCATTTTCTTCCTGTTACTGATTTTTAGTCTCTATTTCATTGATGTTGGAAAAGATACTTGGAATAATTTCTACCTTCTTAAATTTGTTAAGATTTGTTTTGTGAGCTAACTCACATCCCAGAGCTTGTTCCATGGGCACCTGAGAAAAATGTGCATTCTTTTGCTGTTGGGTGGTAAGATCTGTATATGTCTATTAGGTCCATTTGGTCTACAGTTTTGTTCAAGTCAGCTCTTTCTTTATTGAATTTCTGTCTAGATGTTCTATTCTTTATTGTAAGTGAGGTATTCAAGTTCCTTAAATTATTTTATTGCTATCAATGTCTTGCTTCAGAAATGTCAATATCTGCTTTATATATTTAGGTGCTCTGATGTTGAGTCATACTAATTATCATAGCTTCCTGTTAAATGGACCCTCTCATTAGTATATAATGATCTTGTTTGCCTTTAGAGATGGCTTTTGACTTAAAGTCTATTTCATCTAATATAAATTTAACAGCTCCTGCTTTATTTTGGCTACCATTCACATGGGATATCTTTTTCGAACCCTTTTCTTTCTTCTTATATGTGTCTTTAAATCTAAAGTGAGTCCCTAATAAGCAGATACAGTTGTTTTGTTCATGTTTGCCTATCTAGGCTCGAACACTAATAAAACTTTATAACTGGTATTGCATGAATGTATTTTTAATAAATGAATAAATTATCAGCATTAAAAACTCCTGTATATATATGAAGTTTCTTTATATATACTCATCTTCTCTCTATATAAATACATATTATACATGTATATGAAGTTCATATCTATATATATATAAAATTTAGTAGCTCAATTTTTGTTGATTCTTTTTTTTAATACCACGATTTCTTTATTCTTTGAATCTGCACCTTTTTCAGGACTCTATGTGTCCTCACTCAAGTAATCCCTCTCTATCCCAACACATCCTTCCTTATTAGGTTCAACCTTTGTTGCCTCATTTCCCCAATTTATTTTCACTGAAATTTATTCTATACCCATGTAATTTTGTTTATCCAAACCTCTTAGGAAAGATCTTAACACTTGATAAGAATAAACCTGAGTATGGATATTATAGCTACAATATTAGACCATAAACAACTAGCCCCAAAATTATTCTGCAAGGAGGCACTGTTTATAAATACAATAACGCAAATTAAAAACAAAGTATCTTCAGAATGCTTCTCTCTCTCTCTCTCTCTCTCTCTCTCTCTCTCACACACACACACACACACACAGAATTAATACATATTACAAGAATAAACACATTAAAAGACAAAGCTCTGAAAGGAGATATATAATTAAGATTTTTTTCCACGATGGTATTCTATTGTTTTTAGCTATTTTAGCAAAACAATGTGAATGCATATTATCAGCTAGATAGCACAAAAACTTCATTAAACAAGAACTGAATAAAATCTGTTATAATAAAAACTGTTAAATGAAAATCAATTTTATTTCTCTAATTTACTTGGCATGGAACTGCTTCCTGAATTATTGAATTAAATTACTGGAATACTGACCTTCGAGGATGATTGGCATCAAACAATGTGTTATCATCATCCTCATCATCTTGTTCTAAAGGTGTCAATTCCATATTTTCTATGTTAGTGTCCAAAACTCCATATCGCCTAGTCTTTCGGTTTCTTCTTCTCATCCTATTAAATAGAACAAATTAGAGAATAAAAATATTTGAATATGGTATGGAAGATCCTTGTTTATATTTACTTTCAAATTAAAATAATTTACCATTCTGTTGCTGACATAGGCAGCACTTAATGGCAAAGTAGTTACACTTCAGGAATGCAACCAATTTATCATCTAAGATTACTTACACTTCATGAAACAAAGCCTACCCCTACATGTTTGTGTGCCATCGTTGTTTCTTCTATCTGAAATACTCTCTTATCCCTCCGTCAAGTGAATGATGGTGACAAATAATATTTTAGGCCTTAGTTTAGGTACCATATTTTAAGTCTTAAAGACTTAGTTCAAGTACGTCTTTACTACAGACTTCTATTCCAGTCTTTTCCCCATGTCTTCCAAGGCCCTTATTGCTGGGTAGAATTAGGTACTTTGTGTCCATCTAAGAAACTGTATATATATACATACTCATAGTATAGACTGGTAGCTCACAACCCTAGCTGCACAACAGGACTCCTTGGGGGTATTTTTAAAAACTCCATTCTTAGGCCATAATTAAATCAAAATATACAGGGACAGGAGCAAAACACCAACATTTAGTTGACCATTTCATGTGATCCCAATATGCTGCAAACCATTATCTCAGGTCAGTAGTTCTTGAAGTGTGGTTCTCTGGATCAGTAGCATCCAAACACCTAGTGACTTAAGAAATGCAAATCTTCAAGGCCAGCTCAGAACTAGTGAATAACAAACATTTTGAATGTACGCCTAGAAAGCAGTATTTTAACACTTTGTGTGCTTTTGATGCATGCTAACGTTTGGAAACCATTGCCCTAGAAAAACTGAAAAGATTTTAGAGTGCTAAACACTAATTATTGTGAGGTGTATACGAAAGGATCTCATGATTTAGAGTCTTATTCCTAGTTTCTCTATCAAATAACTTTTTTCCTTCAAATCGTTTGCTTCAATTTGCCTTCACATGTGCTTGTCTATGTAGGTGTTTGTTTACCTGTCTCTCCCACTAAGTTCCATGAGGGCAGCAGCAACAACGCCTGCTTTATTCGCCACTGCAAAATCCCTTCCTAACACACTGCTCTACAGATTAAGATGTTCCTTAAAAATTTGTTGAGGGTCTGAGTGACTTCTAGTTTAGTGATCCAAAACCATGACCCTGCAATGAATGCCTAAATAATCTCCAATGCAACAAGTTCAATGCCACACATAGGAATATATGTTTCACAAAAGTATCTATTGGAGTTTAAAAAAAAAATAGAAGATAGTTCGGTAGGTTATCACAAATAAAATTCAGTTTACTTAAATTCTGATTTACTTTGCTTGACACAGTAAGTGTGATTTAAAAAAGACACAGGTTATAACACCCACTGTAAAGGGTAGTATGAGCCTCTTGAAACATGACAAACATAACAGTTCTAGGTCCCTCAGAAACAAACTGCCCTATGCATACATGCTTACATTCAATAAATATACAAACCTTATTAAGCATCAGGCATTATACTATGTTCCAGATGTAAACTACCTAGTCACGATGTTAAAATTTACAAAATATTACTAAGTGTGGACAAAACCAAAGACAATTTTTACCAATCATTGCTTATAGATCTATCTAAATACTCATGTAAATGTGAGAGTTAAGCATAATATTTAAATTTACAAATATAGCCCAACTTTACCAGTATGATGACCACTTGTATACCTAATCCTGAATTGCACTATACATCTTTAAAATAAAATACAAATTAAAAAAATAAAAAACAGATGCAACCAATGAAAGAATTAATGAATAGTATTAGAACTAGCAAAAATGAGGCACCATGAAATATAAAAGCTAGTCTTTTTTTATAGTGAGAAATCAAGTGTGTTTAGGTTGTTAAATTAATAAGTACATGTGTGTATGTGTGTTCTGTGCACACATTCACACATACCACGTAGACCAGAGGTCTACATTTTTTTTTCTGCAAAGGATTAGATTGTATTTTAGGCTCTGTGGGCGACTTATGGTCTCTGTTACATATGTGTCTCAATTTTTTTTTCTTTCTTTTGTTTACCACCATAAGAAAATGCACACACATACATGTGTGTGTGTGTGTATATGCAAATTCTTAGCTACTAGGTCTTTAAAAAACATGTCAGTAAAGGGGATTTGGATGGCCTATAGTTTGTCAACCTTTGATGTAGACTTTTGAACATAATTAACAAAAAAACTAAGAGCAGAAATAAAAGTCTTATCTACAGGAAGTATAAATGGAAAAATACAGGGAAGTTAGTTTATTACTTGTGCTTTAGAACTACATCATCTTATAATATTTGCATGAATTCCTTTGATTTAAAAGTGTAAGTACATAAAGGTGAGTAAAACCAGTTGGCAGCATAAGTTAAAAAAATCGAGTTATAATTTCTCCTCTTTTCTCCTCTTTGCTTTTGCCAGTCTCTTGTTAAATTTTCTTTTCTTTTCTTTTTTTTGTTAAGCAGGATCTACTGAGAGAACAGACAGGCTGCCACAGTGGGAGGGGACCCAAGGGGGTTGCCTTTTGCTCAGTTTTCTAAGACAACTGGCTTCCCAAACATTCTGGTATTTTCAGTCAACCAAGAATTCTGTTACATGAAATTACTTTTGAAAATAAACTAGATTTTCCCAAATGATATATATCAATTAATATGATAATTAGATAGTCATTATCAATCACAGGATACACTGATAAGTCTTAAAAAGAGGAATAACATGAGCCTAGAGTTTAGTTATCTCATCTGATGCTCTTCTCTACTCTCAAAGCCCTTACCATATCTTGAATGGATTACTATTCCAATAAGTGGTCAAACTAATCTGCCTAATAATACTCTTTTCCCTAGCAGGTATAGCATGAACCAGGCATATCCAAGGGCTGCACACAGTCCAGCACAGCTAGTAATGTGGCCCTATAAATATTTTTTTTTGAGTCAGAGTCTCATTTTGTCACCCAGACTAGAGTGTAGTGGCCTGCTCACAACTACTACAGTCTTGATCTATCAGGCTTAGTTGATCCTTTGACCTCAGTCTTCCAAGTAGCTGAAACTATAGGCACAACACCACATCTGGCTAATTTTGGATTTATTGTAGAGTCAGGGTCTTGCCAGGTTTTGCTCAGGCTGGTCTTAAAGCCCTGGGCTCAGACAATCTTCTTGTCTCCACCTCCCAATGTTCTGGGATTACAGGCATGAACCATCATGTTTTAATAACATGTGTTTTTTAGCATTTATGTTCTTTCTAACCCCATGTGTAGTTACATTTTTGAAGTTCATAATCACACCTTACTCATGACATCGCTTTCTGGCAGCCTATACATATGTGAGCAGCTTTTTTCAATTATGAAACACACGAAGAACAAAATTTAAACAAATGTATCCAACAAACTCACTAAGAACTGCAGCCACTTCTATTGAACTAGACATTGATAGATTTGTTTTATAAAAACAAAGTCAAATTTTCCACTAGTTTTATATTGTTCTCATTTTTCTAAACTTTATAATCAAAGCATAAAAATTAAATTAATTCTTATTACATATATATATACACACACACTAATTATATCATATAAATTATGTGCAGCCCAAGATAATTCCTCTTTACTTGATGCAGTCCAGGGAAGTCAAAAGGTTACTTGATGTATCCCAGGGAAATCAAAAGATTGGACACCCCTGGTGTAAACTTTGACTGCATTGCTTTGAACATGTTATTATTTATTCTAGCTTATGTTTTCCCTTAATATAATCATGCATGCAAATGGTAGCCTCCAAACAAGAATCCAATCTGTTTAAAAACAAGAACCTCTTTAATGTACAGAGATAGAACATTGCTGGGCACCAAATAAATGGATGATGCAGTTAAATTTAAATGAATTTACTATTTTAGTATATATGTATTAATTCATAAAAGAATTAATCAAATAAAAAGTGTGTATTATAGATAAAACTTAAGCTTGAGGGGAGAGACGGCAAGATGGCGACCGGGCAACCCGGTGTCTGAAGCCCTCTGCAAGGGAGATCTGCAGTGGGTCTCTGACTCTCGCCCCCGGGAGGCTGGGGACCCCAGCATTGCAGCCTGCTCCTCAGACAGAGCTCGGGCCATCGCTATCACTGGAACATCGCAAGGACTGGACAGTTTTACTG